TATTACACCAAGCAAGACTTGGGAAAAATTAACCGTCATGGGTCTAGGCATACGAGAGGAGGTCGAGCAGATGTTTACAGCCATCGGGTGGCGCTCATATCTCGATATCTTATGCCCCGCCTTTGTCGAGTTGACTCGGGAGTTTTACTCCACCTTTGAGTTCGAGTTACCTACGAGATACACCGTTGACACACCACAGGTCATTCATTTCCGGCTCATGGGTCGAGAGTTCAATTTCTCCATTACCCAATTCAATCGGGCATTTGGGTTTATCACTAGAGAGTATGCTGGGACTAGGGAGTATGCAGAGAGTGCCTGTGACTACATAGAGCCGTTCCTCTCCCACTACCATGATGTGTGGGAAGACATGTCCGTCGATCAGCAGCGCTACGATCCTTCCCGGTCTAGGAGCTCCTTTCTTAAGGACCCTAGTGCCCGCTATGTTCAGCGTTTCTTAGCCTACAGCTACTCGGGGCGCAAGGACAGCTCTGGCATACTCTCTCGCTCTGAGTTCTTCTTCCTCTGGAGTATGAAGAACAATATCAAGGTTAACTTGGGTGTTGGTTGGCCGCACAGTTCAAGACCGTCTTGGCCAAAAAGAACAAACCCCTTATCCTTGGGTCCTATATCACTCACTTGGCGATACAGTTGGGGGTTCTTAACCTGGAGGACCACGACCTACATTTGGCGTGCGAGATGGAGCTCTTGGACGTAGACTGCTTGGAGAGGATGGGAGTCATCGAGCGCCTGCCTGATGGTTCCTACCAGTTCACCCCCCCGGGACCACTTAGAGCTCCGGGTGCGCATCATTTGTCCCGGGCAGGGCCCTCCTCCTTTCCTGGATCAGCCGAGGACACAGCTGGACCATCTTCTTCTGCGCCACCTCCACCGCATGGGACTACTGAATGGCAGCAACTCCGGGGCCAAGTTCAGGCTTTGGAGGCTCGGATGGTCAACGTTGACGCCAATGTTGCTGGCATGGCACAGAATTTGGCGCAGTTTCTGATGCATACAGGCTTTGCACCTCCGTTTCCACCTCGCCCTCCGCTATGACCCGTTTCAGGGAAGTTTGGTTACTTTCACCCTCACTTTTGCTGTTTTATTTGACACATTGAGGACAATGTGTCCTATAGGTGTGGGGGGGCTATAGTCTTTCTAGTTTTTAGTTTTTAGTAGTTTTTAGTTTCATTTCGAGTTGCGTATTTTCTTTCTTTTCTTAGTGCTTATTCCTCATGTGAAAAAAAAAAAAGAGGGAAAGAAAAGGGGGATGTTGGTTTATTGCCTCTAAATCTACTTTTGCCAAGTTTTTAAAATAAAGTGCATCGGGTTAATGTGGTTGGGTCCTGAATATCTCCTTAGTGAATATTGAACTGCTTGACTCTTTCGATTTCTTTGTTAACTTTTCTAGGCATAGGGAATGACTATGGCCTTTTAATGTGAACTGGTCCAATATTGACTCCAATTCTCCATGTTTGGCAATAATGAGGCGAGCTGCTCCTATGTTTGATTGTTAGTGCTGTTATTTTGCGTTTGTGCATTGTTTGGCTGTGAATAAGCTTGCTGTACTCCGCTATTAAGTTACTACTGAGTAATCGGGGATCGGCACCTAAAAGTGTCGATTCTCGCGTCAAAAGGTGGTACTTTATATGAGTACGTGGTCGTATAGCAGTAGGAGCTGAGTAACCGGGCTCCGTCATCTAAAAATGTTGGAGTTCGCGTCAAAAGGCCCCAACGGCTGACGACTAAGTCTTTTTGTGTTAATTATTATTTCTGCGATAAAAAAAAAAAGAGAAAAACAAAAACGAAAAAAAGAGAGAATAAATAATGGGAAGGCTTGCCGGTTTATGGACTTAATATGGAGACTTGTGTGAATATTCGGACCATTAGCTGATAAATGTTGCGTGTCATTCCCTTTTCTTAGAGTAGTTAACCTGGAATTGAAGGAATTTGCAGTTTAGGGGCTAACTGGGGGGATGCTTCTTGGATTTTAATCCCCAATGCTCGATATATGTTTTCCTCTTGAATATCTTGGCAATATAGGAGATTGGGCAATGGCCATCATCGAATTTTGGTGTTCGTTTACTATTCTTATGTTTGAGGACAAGCATGGTTTAGGTGTGGGGGAAATTGATAGGGTGCAATTTATCTATTTATTTTATTACTAATTTTCCCTATTACCTGATTTGATGTGGATTAATTACTGGATTCTACTCATTTTTCTTAATTTACACTTACCTCAGGGAGTAGATCAAAAATTACCACAACCACTGCTATTTTGACAGTCATCAGGCAGGAAGTAAAAGAGGAGGCTTGCAAGGGCATTTTTGGGAAAAGGGAAACAAGCCCTTTTCGGTCATTTGACCAACGTCTTGTTTTACCTACCTGGGAGCGCCGCACAGTGGAGCGAGAGGGATCCATCAGATAAAAAAGGAAAAAAAGAGGATCAGAGGGGGGAGCTTTTTTCTGATTCGGAGCTTCCTCGACTGCAGCTTAGCAGAAATGATAGCTTGACTTTTTCCCTTGTTTTCTATTTTTAGCTTCAGATACTCACGGATGATAGGAAAAAGCATTGCTTAGCTTGAGATTGTTGACTTTTCCCCTAGAAATGCTTTTTGCTTGTCATACGCATGGCAGGCATTAGAAATTGGTAGCTTTTGACTTTTCTTCATGTTAAATGCTTAGAGTTTTTCTACCTTTCCTCGTAAGCCATCCGTAGTGAGGCAGAGGATCATTTCGTGTAACTTTGCTATTTCCCCCTGGTTGGAGCGGATTGAGTTCTCAAAAATCAATGACAATGGCCGCAGCTTTATCTTCAATTTCTGGTGGGTTTAGTTCATCAATTATGAACTAATTTTCCAATTCTAGTCAAGGAGCAACGAAGGCTCTGGTTCGCCTAAAAATTGTGAGATCGTTTTAATCTAAACTTTTCCTTTTATTTATGGATATCCGCATATTTCGTGATTGCTACGCTTATGGTTATTTAATTAATTGATTGTCTTGGATCCGGATAATTAATTGATTTGGTAACCTATAGTCAATTGGGGCATTAAATCCGTAATTGTTTAATTGTCCTGAAACAATGACAACTGGCACGATTAGATTCGTGTCAGGGGGATACGTGGGCTAATCTAAAATAACCCTGATAGTGTGTTGTTTGGTTAGAATAGGGCTCCTCTAATACGTAAGGCAATTGGGGAATTAAATGCTACGGGCGTACCTAGGATTATTTCTCAATTAGAGCAGTGATTAACGGGCGTACCTTGATCACCGACACAGTAAGGAGGGGTTGACTGCCATCGCTTGTTTGGTAGTTATAACCTATTTATTGGTAAATAATTGGGATTGCCTTGCATCAATGATCAATTAGATGAACCATTGCTGAAGTTACTTCTTGGCTAGATCTTTAATTAATATTATCTTGATTTTAGTGAAGTGCCATTTGGTTTTTGGTTGTCTACTTTATTGCATTTTTAATTGTTCCCTTGTTTTAATAGATTTAGGACTTTAATTATTGTCATTCTAAGTTCAGTGAATCGTCGTTTAATTTATAATTAGTCATTTATTTTTATTTTCTTATTTGAATTCATTTGGTTGTCGTTGTTCCTACAAAATCACCCCCTGTGTTACTTTGAATTTCTTAAGAAACAAATATACCCAGTCCCTGTGGATACGACCCTACTTGCCCTGTCTGCAAATTCATAATTATTTGTGAAAATAAATAACCATTCCATTCGGGTATATCGGATCAAGCAAACTCTTCGGGAACAGGGTGAATCAAGTAACCCATTGCACACCTAGAGTCCCTGCTCCAGTACTTGGAATCGGGTTTGGTCATTTTAACTGGCAAATAGGTTTTATTTTATTATTGCACAGGCTTCGACAACCTGTCAGAAAGTGGGAGAGATGGGAGACAGGCTGTTCTTCGGGTCAGGCACGGCGGCTAGGGAGCCTTCCCTTTCCTTGCTTTTTAATACAGGGGTCATGGGTATAATACCACAGACCTATTTTTAAATGTTTGATATCAATTCTTAGTATTTAAGTGGAAAACTTCCAAGGGTCGACTAAGAATTAGTGGTAATAGTCTGAAGAGTTAGAATCGAAATGCTGGCTAATACAAGCATATACTATTTACTGGGCTATTAGAAAACAAGTCGACTCTAAACATTTTTAATATTCTTTCTTCCACATTCAAGGGGTGCATGTGGAGAATTCGATAGATTGGTGAAGACCGGGTAGTGATCTGGTCAAGCATGGCTAGTGGACGATCCCTTTTCTTGTTCTTTAATTCAAGTTTCGCCCTTCAATTAAGGGGCAATGTTTTAGATGGGAGAAGATACCATTCACAATGTGTTACTGATATCTAGCCTTGTGATTCTTACTTGCTCCATTTTTTATATGTGGGCAACTCTACTCAGGTTTTTGGAGACTCAAATGATACAGTGGGAGAGGATTTAAATTCAAAATTTCGTATTTATACTTTTTTCTCTGAACCAACCAATCCATCTATTTCCTCTTGGCCAATTGATATATGTCCCATGAATATTTTCATATTCTCTTTTAATTAAATTTAAGGAATAATTTCAAAAACCTTCCCTGAGATTTCTAACAATTTCAATGAGATCCCTTGAGATTTTAAAAATTACACTTACCTTCCTTGCCCATTTAAAATGACAATATTAGTCTTACCATTTTAATAAAACTCCCTTTGTTGGGTATGCATATAGAAAGAATGATATTTATAATTATTTTTTCTTTTTCTTTTCTCTTCTTATTCCTCTTTTTTTTTCATATTTTACAAGTAAAACCACAGAACTATAAACTATAAATATTGCTTCTAGTCGTTATCATTACCAAATGTTGAATTAGTGACCTTTTTTTTTTTGACAACTTTGAATCTGATCTAATTTTTTTTTATCTTTTTTTTCTTTGCACCAAAAACAACAGTGATTTAAAAAGAAACTTTCCAAAACTACTACTAAATTATTGATACCTCTAACATTTCAAAAATCTACAAACTCTAAAACAATTATGATAATACTTTCTTCTCCAACCTTCAGGGAATATGTATCCCTAGTAAAGCAATATGTACAATAGCCTGTCATAGTGATAAAACTATTGTAATAATTGTTTATTAAATAATAAATATAGGTATTGAAAATTTGATGCTTTTTTTTTAATATTTGATGCTATATATTTTACAATTGTTTTGGAAAGCAATAAAAACTATATAAACCAAGGACATTTTAGGATGTTCATTTAAATTTTTGACCAATTCTAAGGTTTGATTACCAAATATATCAAATCAAGGGTGGTAAGTACAATTTTTAATAATTCAATGTAGCTCAGTGGAATTGTTTAAAACCTTAGAGGACGTTTATGAAATTATCCCTACTTATAATCAACTTTGAAGTGCTACAATCAACATAGTGGGCAACGAGAATAAACTCCTAACTATGAAAGTACATGGGAAAGTTTTGGGAGAGTTTCAACTGGGAAAGTTTTGGACTTTTTTTTGGGTGTTCGAAAGGATTCGTATTTGGTGTTCGAAAGCCGTACAATTTAGTTCATTGAACCCTAGTTTTGGCTCTTTTGGGGTCAAATATTGTTTGGAGTATCTACAATTACCCTTTATTACACCCCTGCATTGTAAACCCATGCATTGTAAACTCTCCCAAACTGCTCCCCTACTTCTGCAGGAGTCACCATTCTTCAATAACTGCTCCCCTACTTCTGCAGGAGTCACCTTTGTGACTTTCATCAGCTGCTCAACAACCAAGAAGAGTGGATGATCTGTGATTCCAAGGTAATTGGAAGCAAGCAATTTGAAACCGCACGGGGTGCAATACGACATGTAAATGTGCACATCCATACGACCAGGGCGCAATAAAGCTGGATCTAGCTTATCTTTATGATTAGTTGTAAACACTATGATGCGCTCATCCCCACAGCTCGACCATAGTCCATCAATGAAGTTCAGCAATCCAGACAAGGTAACCTGGAAAGGTGGTGAGTTAGAAAAGATTTTAATTAGTGCTGACAATCTAATTTCTCCATGGATGTGATAAATATATGCAACTCAGGGAGAGATGACTGCAATTACTGGATTCATAGTGAAAATGGAACCTATACTGTCAAATCAGGCTACAAGGAACTGTGCAAAGGGTTAACTGATCAAGAGTAGAGAAGAGGAGCTGAGGGAGGAACCAGCTTAGCTAAATCCAGCAGGAAAACCTGGAAGGTACTGTGGAAGCTGGACATCAAGTGCAAGCTAAAACACTTTATTTGGAGGTGTATCAATGGAGCATTTACCAGTCAATGGACTAATACATTGAAGAACTCAGACTGGTGATCGAATCTGTAAAGGATGCGGAGAGCAAGAGGAATCTATTGAGCATGTACTCTTCCATTGTAGAAAAGCTCAAGAGGTATGGAAAATGTCACCAATACAATGGGATGGAGTAGCAGAGCATACATGGAACTTTTTAGCTTGGTGAAATGCTGTTATGGGACCAACAAGCAGGATAAATGGCATGCACCATATAGAGCTGACAGCCAATATACTCTGGCAAATCTGGAAAAATAGAAATGATTGGAAGTTTAATGCCAAACAAAGACATCCAATGAAAGCTGTTCAAAAGGCACAACAGGAATGGCAGGAGCAAGTAACAGTCAGAAGAAAGAATGAGAGAATGAGCTCTGCTGATATTAGTGGAGCCAGGGAAGAACCAGTAGCAGTAGAAGAGGGGAGTGCAGATATTCAAATCCGAGTAACAACTCAAGTGCAGAAAGATTCAAGCAGAGTTGGGATGGGGGTCATTGCAACTAACAGCAATAACCAGGTGGTGATAGCTTGGGCACTTAATGATAGAAGCTCAGGAAGTCAACTACAGGTTACTGCTAAAGCTGTTAAACTGGTCATCATCAAGGCCAAAAAACAGCAGTGGCAGGAAATTAAAGTACATATCCCCATCATCCAATTGCTGAAGGAGATAACATCAAGGAAAACCAGGGACACAAGAATGGCAACATTAATCGATGATATCAACAATCTGAGGTCTTTATTCCTGAAATGCTCCTTTTGTTTGGATAGGAGTATAGATCATAGATGTAAATTGATTAGTGATTATGCTTTAGGGATCTTTCAAGATGAGGAATGGATTAATTCTCAGTGTACTTAGCACTTTTGTATAGCATCACTTGAGCATTTGCTCATATAAGTGTACATCTTTTGTCCATCAATACAAATTATATCGTCGCTGAAAAAAAAAAGTAATAAATATATGCAAGTATCTAGGTCAGAGCCCAGGAGACTGACAAGGAATTCTGTGAATCTCCAGCCCTTGGTACTTCACTAACGAGAAATGGCAACTGGCATTTGGGTACCTGGCTAGGAGTCTGACAGGTGCCGAACCTGTGCAATAATAAATACCTACTCGAGAAAAATACAGATTTTGTATATAGCGGTGAGTAGGGTCGAATCCACAGGGACTGGGGATAATTCGTTTCTTCTAGAGTTCAAAGTATGGGGGGGGTTTTTGGATTAAATGCTAACTAAATAAATTAACTGCAGGAAATAATTAATTCCAAGAAATAATTAAGGGGAAACTCTAGCCAAGGGTACACTTCAGAAATGGTTCATGTACTGATCATTGATACAGAAATAATTCCAACATTTAGTAATAGATTAGTTATAGTTGTCATGCACGCGATAAACAACCAACCCTTCCTTAATTTCTCGATAGCTAAGGTACGACCGTTAGCTATTTCTCTAACCCAAAAACAACCCTAGGTACGACCGTAGGATTTAATTTCTAGATTGCATTAATAATTAGAAAGGCCCAATCCTAACCAACAAACACGCTACGAGGGTTTGTTTAGACTAGATCATATGCTCCCCTGACATAAACCCAATTACGCCAGTTGCTACTAAGATAGAGATAACGAACAATTACGGATTCAATTACCTCTATTTAGCAAAATAGCCTATATGAATAATTAATTATTGCGCACTAATCAATCATACATAAGGACTATAACAATTAAAAACAAGAAACACATAAATACCAATAAATGAGGAAGCGATTAAAATAATTTCGATCTCACAGTAATTGTTGAACCAAATCTTCAGTTGTTCCCTTCACTAGAATTGAGAAGCTAGTTCTCCATTAATGGAGAACCAGTTGTGCAAGAAAATAAAACAATCGGAGCTTTCTAATGTTCTTCGATGGGAAAAAGAAACTAAAAAAACTAAGCTCTAACTATCGGTCCCGAAAACTTCTGCACGTTCGTCCTTTTAAAGCCAAAGGGAAATGACTTCCTGCTATCCAGTGGTCCCCGCCGACTAAGGAGTCCAAAAGCCAAAGAATTGAGGCTCTGCCGAAATTCCTCCTTGTTTAGTTTCCTATTGCTAGTCAAAGACTCCCATCAGCACAAAGAAAAGGAATTCGTTTTCTTCTTCTCCTTGTGGGCCATCAACCGAAAAAGGCTTCCTTGTAGCACCATATGGGGCCCAACTGTTTGAAGTCTCAATTGTATAGTGAAAAGTCCCTCATTTGTTGTAGTTTTCTGTTCCACTTCCTGAAATTGAGTCCAATACCAAATATAAGTAAATATTAATAATTAAAACGATATTTGGCAAGGATAAAGGGGAAAATTACCAATAAAATAACCAACAATTAACACCCTATCAGAGTCTAAGACATACCGTTGTAGATGGAACTTGTTTAGACATTCAATTTAATCGCCTTAAACCGTGATTATCACTTTCTGCCAACTTGTATGATAACATATATGCTTGATAAAGTCTTCTGGTATATGGTATTTGCAAAGCACTCTAGTTTGTCTTTGTGTCAAGAGTTCATCAAGCAATTTCAGCTCACGCAAAGGAGAGAGTCATGCAATGGGCAAAACTGAAACAATATGTATACCCTCGTAATAAAGCACACTGCAAGATTTAATGCTATGTTACTCCAAAGCAACACAAATCACGTTGGAAACTTACCCTGTTTTCTTGACCATATTGGTGAGGGTGCATAGGTGCCCTTGATGCTTTTGGCCGGTTGTTCGTGAGCTCAATCGAGCAATCAATGTCCTCCACGACGAGTATCGACTGATTAGCTGTTGAAATCAGATCCCTTCTCAGATCAGAGTTGGTCCTGATATCAGTGAGCTCCAAGTCATAGATATCAAATTTTAAATAATTGGCAATGGCTGCAATCAAACTTGATTTCCCTGTTCCTGGTGGCCCAAACAGCAAATACCCTCTTTTCCATGCCTTCCCAACTTTCCTATAAAGCTCTTTCCTTCGGACAAAGTTCTCAAGATCATTGATAATCATCTTTTTATCATCTGTATCCATCGCCAACGTGTCAAATGTGGCTGGATGATCAAGATTAACTGATTGCCACGGATTACCCCTATGTCCCATCATCCGATCATTTCCCAACATAAACAATTTCAGTGTCTTCTTTTCAACTTCAACAGCCTTGGATCTTTCCAAAACATAAGGCAAGTACTCACCAATAATGCAATTTCCTAACCAATAGTTACAATTTCAGAGGAAGTGACTGGGGAAGGATCTTACTAAACAAAGAGGAATATGAAATTATAATCAGAACATTGTAGAGTTGGAGAAAAAATCGCATGGCTAAAATGTAGTCATGATTGGAGTTACTTCACCATTCCACGACTTCAAAATTACAGCTTATACTTTCTGTACCTAGACCTCTTTGTCCCAATATCAACTTTGTCTCTCTTTGTTCTTCTTTCTTCCCTATTGCATTCTCTCTAGCAAAGTTATTAAACCCAACCCGACTAGACGATTGAATTGGTCAACTCAGTGACCCGACCATGGGACTGGGATGGCAGACTAGACCCACCAGATAAGGGCAGCAGCCATTTGGACCCAGTGAAACCTACTGGTAAATTGGGAGACTGGGAACTCGGCTGGTTTGAGCAAACATCCCGCAATGACTTCTTTAAGCCAAACTTTTATCATTCAATAGAGAATCATATCACTTTCCATCTTTTTGCTCTTTATTTCAAACTTTTCGATTGATTTCTTATAGTTCACAAACATACTTCTGGTATTCTACAGCTTCTAGCTATCCAATATAAAACCAAAAGGACAACAACAACAAACTTACATTTGGAACAAGTACATTTTGATTTAGAAATTTGACTATGTAACTTCTTACAAGTTGGAATTATCAAAATAGTTGGCTTTTATCTTTCAAAATCTTAATGATTTGAATGTTAACAACTGAATTATATTGTTGTACTATTTTATGGAAACCAACAATTTAACCAGTGATCCATCAGGTTGAAAAATTAACCCGCTGACCAAGGTTTGTAAAATCGGGATCCTACATAGGATCGATTTTAGTTTCACAGAATCGGATCGTAGGATCGTAAGATCCTACCAAAAGGTCCTAATTGCAATTAAAGGTTGCAATTCTTTGATAAATTACAAATATACCACAAATATTTTCATTTACTTGCAAAATGGAGCTTCGTATTTCACAAAATTACAAAAAAATTGTAGGATCGTACGATCCTACCGATCCTGCTATGATTCTATGCGATCCTACAGAGATTAATATGATTTGCGACTCTGAATACGATCCGGATCGTACGATCGTACGATCCGGATCGCGATTTTGACAACTATGCCGCTGACCAGCCCCATGCCTGGTTGATCGTTGGATTAATTTTTTTACCATTTCTAAATTGACTAGTCTCACTGTGTTTCCTTTCCTCAAGTCAAAGTTGACTAAGTTTAAGTGATTTGCTTTTGCCTTTCTTTGGGTCACCCAAATGGGATGGACCCAAGCCCAACAATCTCCCCCTTCAGCTTGTACGAGGGCACCACCAATCTTGCTCCCCATCTGTAAAACAAGAACTTCCCCCTTACTCAACATTTCAGCACCATCAACTATATGTGCGTTTTCAAGTGACAAAAGCTTGGATCCATCTCACTTGAGTGGCCCAAAGAAAAATAAAAGTTCATCAACTTTGACTTCAGCAAAGGAAGGCCAGGTGAGACTAATCACTTCAGAGAAAGCATAAGTAGTGTGAGCACAAAAAGAATGAAGAGAGAAAATTGAAATTGGCATAAGAGCTCCAGAGATAAAGTAAAGCAGCAACTTTGAATCCATGATCCAATGTTGAAACAAAGACCATTGAAATGAGATTTTAGTCACATAATCCTCTCATCAAACTCTACACATGTAACCATTCCAAGCTTCAGATTCCTCTTTATTGGTTAACATCCTTCCAAACCCTCTTCTTTTGAAGTTGTACTTTTTGGAAGAGAAATTGTAGTAGGTCCATGATGTTAATGTTTTTGTCATCTAATTGTCCCAGATAGACCTTTGTATCATGTTATTTTCAATGTGGAGAACTTTTAGCTAGCCTAGGTCCAATGATTTTTCCCAGAATGGGTTTTCCATAGGTTCTCTCAAACTCTTGATATGATGATACCTCAAATTTGACAATGGAGTTCTGTTTAAGAAATGCTTTCTGTGATTCATCAAATGCCATATGAATCTTTAGGAGTTCATGCTATCTCATTATCTCTTTTCTCGATAGTTATCTATCTATTGCATTAGACAGCTAAAAGGCAAATACGCATATCCTATTTAAAGTATCGGCTCTTTACAGATATTTTATTTTCAAATATTTAATTTATGATAAATATATTAACATTTGTAATTAAAAATTAAAAAGTGTTAAAGTAATATTCTTGCAAAAAAAATCAGTAGGTTATCTATTTAATATAAATTAAATATTTTTTAAAAAATAAATGGCCTCATAAACTATTAATCTTTTATGACTTTCATTCATTACATGAGTAAAGTATTGGCTCTTTATGGATATTTTATCCTGAATCATTTAATTTATGCTAAATACATAAATATTTATAACTAAAATTGAAAAAGTGTTATATTAATATTTCTACGAAAGAAAAACTGGTAGGTTTTGTGTTTAACAAAAATTAAATATTTGAGAGTAAATACAAATCTGTATTTGAGAATAAATATTTGTGATAAAGTAAATGTTTGAAAGTAAAATACATGTAAAGAGCTGGTACTTTAAATAGGTAATACGTATTTGCCTATAAACTACGCTCGTTAAAGTTTATTAATTGTTAATTAATTTGTAATACTTTGTCATTCATTGGACATGTGGCACAAATGACAAATCAGGTACAAAATTCTAATTTCACTCTCTAAAATAATATTTTAATCATTTGGACTAAATTTATAAAGGATTAGTAACCTCAGGGGAGGTCAGTGTAATTGTTCAAATCACAGGGAAGGTAAGTGTAAATGTCAGAAATCTCAGGGGAGGTTTCTGAAATTATCCCTATTTTCAATGTGGAGAACTTTTAGCCTCTGTTTTGAAACTCGGACCGGGCCGGCCGGTCGAACCGGGAACCGGCCAGGTAGCCGGTCCGAGTCTTATTAAAAAACCGGAAATTTAAAACCCGGTCAAAGTCGGTCAAAAACCGGGTTTGACCGGGTTTGACCGGGAAAAAACCGGTTTTTCCGGTTCAACAGTAATTTTTTAAAAAAAAATTCAAACTTTATAATATTATGTTTTGACCCCCTAAATTGTTAAAACTTATCTATATACCTCAAATATTTGATACTTTATAAATATTGTCCTAAAATTTGATGTTATTTTTCAATTAAACTCATAATTTTAATTCTAAACTTGTTAATATTTATTAAATAATATAAATTGCTACTTAATTGTTCTAATTTCTTTATATTTTCTTGTTAAATATATTTGAAACATCAAATATATATGAATATACCTTTATTAATATCAATATATTATTAGATATTATAAATATAATATTTTAATTTTTAAATAATTTTTATTTATGACGTCATCCGGTTCAACCCCTATCGACCCCCGGTCGAACCCATTGACCCCTGACCCCTGACCTTGGCCGAGTCGCTATCCGGTCCGGTTCTGAAAACATAGCTTTTAGCTAGCCTAGGTCCAATGATTTTTCCTAGAATGGGTTTTCCATAGGTTCTCTCAAACTCTTGATATGATGATACCTCAAATTTGACAATGGAGTTCTGTTTAAGAGATGCTTTCTGTGATTCATCAAATGCCATATGAATCTTTAGGAGTTCATGCTATCTCATTATCTCTTTTCTCGATAGTTATCTGCTTACAAACCATCCTCCATTTTAGCTGGATGCCGTTAAATTGTTGGGTGAGCTCTTCATTGCTTTCCATGTAAACGTTGATTTTCTTTTCTTTTTGAGGTAACGTGGCTCGAAGCCTTTTGGTGGGAGTGAGCGGGACTTGGTTAATCTCTAGTTGATTCTCTCTATTTTATGCAGTATTCATTTAGATGTATGATACATATCTTCATTTATTAACAAGAGTTAGAATTAGTCAAATTTAAATTGACCATGTCCTTTCCTAGTAATTGAAGACATGTATCATACATCTAAACGTGCATTATACGAAATAAAGGGAGAATTCATTAGAGAGGACCCAAATCCATCTAAAGTGATGTCAGCAAATTCTATCATATTTTGTATTGTAGATTCACAATTAGTTGAGAAGGGCCAATCTGACATCGTCTTACAAATTTGTTCATTTTTTGTTAGGTAAGACTTGCACCTTCCGCGTGTCCTAGTTTTTGCCAATCATTTCATTGTTGTTACTTGTTACCCTTACTTTCTCATTTGGTTAAAGTTAACTAAGTCTTAGCCAGCATGCATGATGAAAGTGGGGCATGACTTGAAAAGATTATTAACTGACAGTTAATATCCCTAACCTATAAAAGACTAATTGAGACCTGATTTGCATCGACCCATTGTGCAATTGTGAAATTTATACTCGTTTTATCTCCAATTTGAATATTTTATCCCTAGCTCTATAAATCATCCAAAACATATGGTGTGGAATTCAAAAATGGAAAATTAAATATTCATACAAACATATCACATTCAAAGCTCTTTGAAGAATCAATTATTTTGCTAATGCCCTTTCGAGCAATTAGCTCAAGCAGCAGAAAAACCAAGTTGCAGACATCCTTCTTAAAGGAACTCAAGTCCCATACTTCATTCTTTGCAAAAATTCTCCAACTTGAAGAAGTAAAATGTGATTCTGAAAATTAAGCAAATCTCGAAGTTTGAGCATACATCTTCAACCAATTCTATCCTGAAAAATTAGCCACGTAATGCCTTTTGCAATCCCCATTGCAATTTTTACCGTAAACCTGTTTTGAGCAGAAAGGAAATGATCATATTGGGCTATCATATTCTTCCAAGAATCATGAGCTCAAACATAAATTGTCAATCCAAAATGATGGAGTTTGAACCTCAAATACAAAAAAAAAAAAAAAAAAAAAAAAAAAAAAAGATAACAAAGTTCCTTGACGGCAAAATGAAATTACACAAAATAGGCCAACAGCAAAATATCTGAATAATCTCATTGATTGTTTCCACCATATCTTCACAAGAAAAGTATCAAAGAAAGTCAGACCGCACAGACGACCAATTACAATCCTCCTAGCACTCCCTGATGATATCATTAAGAAAAAAAAAATAGAGCAATAATTAGTTGTTTGCTCGTCAATTTCAATGTGCTCGTGCATGCATTACAGGCAACTACTGAAGTACAAAAAAACTACCAAATGGTAAATATAAATTAAACTTGTTTAAAAATGAAAAGCATGATTATTTCTACAAGCCAATTGATGGTGATGACAAACAAAAAAATACCAGATATTGCACCAGCTGACAAAAAATATTACTCTTCAGTCTTCAATGATGATGATCTTCAGATTCCCATTTCCATAATTATATTCCTGTGCTTCTTCAATTTCCCGTACTAAAGATTTGACGCCATCTGTGCAATAACTCACCTTAATCCTTTCAAGAGTAGATATACGCCCTAAACAAGCAGGCATCATTTCCAATTCAGAAATTTTGTCGAGTTTTAATTGCTGAAGGCACGGGAAGTAATCATCACTGTCAGGGTCTGCCTCTATCCACTCTTCAACTTTTGTAGAGTCCAAAGTCAAGACCCTGAGTTTAGGGAATCCTCCTTCCATCAGCTCCCATCTTTGGCCGACCATTGCCCGGTCTCTTAATTTGAGGACTTCAAGGTTGGGTAGTAGTTCAATCAATGACATTTTACTACAGGGAAGGCCCAAAGCTTCAAGACTCAACTTCTTCAAATTCACGGGAAAGGAAAGCTCAACATGTTCCCGTGAACCTGAGGAGTAATTGCCCAGCCAGGTGAGTGATTCTAGGCATTCTAGTCGACTCATGTTCAACACTCCATTTCCAGTCTGACAATCGGAAATTTTAAGTCGGCGAACGTTGGGAATCCTTCTCAATAAGTTCTCTCCCTCTTCATAAAGACGCAAACAAGAGAGTGTGTCTAAATTGGGTAAAGTGGAGAGGTTTTCAATACCGTTGTCGTTGGAAGAAAGACCAATAACGACGCCAGCGCACAAACATACATGCCTCAACTTCTTCATGTTCCAGATGCTATCTGGCAATGAAACAATCTCATCAGAATTAAGAAAGAAGGTTTCCAAATGTGAGAGCTTGGCTATAGATGGTGGAATGAATTTCATGCACTCTGCTTCAAGGGCTAAGTACCTCAAACAAAGAAGTGATTCGACTTCAGCTGGAAGCTCCTTCAACATTAGGTCAATGCCCTCTAAATGCAGAACGTTAAGATGTTTGTAGATGCAAAAAAGGAAGGAGATATTAAACAAATTAAACGTATTATCTCCTGGAGTAGCATCAAAGAATAGCAGACTGGATAAATGCGGACAAAATAGCCTTGACTTTATAAAATCTTCTCCACTGGAGTAAATGGACAACCGAGGTAAGTTGGGAGGCTCATTAAAGGTAGAAAGCTCATTATATCCTCGCAGGACCTGAAGGAAATTCTTTTCTTTCGCCTCGCCCTTACAGAACTCAAATATCAAATCGTGAATGTAACAAGTTTTGACTCCACCAATGGATCTGCTTTTACTTACCATAACCAGGTTTCGGCCAATTAGGTCCATCAAATATTCTTCTGCAGTATCCTCTGATCTCTTTCCTTCAATTATTTCCACAAACCCTTCTGCAATCCATAGACGCATCAAACTCTTGGCATGAATTTTTTCATCTTCTCGAAATGCAGCAAAAGACAGCAAGCATGCCTTCAAGTGATATGGTAGATGCTCATAACTGAGCTCCAAGAACTTCTTCCACTGGTCTGTACCAGACACCGTGGTTGAAGTAAAACTTTCAGCAAACTTTTTCCAAACCAAAATATCATGCTCTATAGTTGCTAGAATTCCAGCTACAACAACAACTGCAAAGGGTAATCCCCAGCACTTTTTGACAATCTCCATTCCCAATTCATGCAATGCTTGAGGACATTCTTCTTCTTCTCCAAACACCTTCTTCTGCAGCAATTCGAAACTTTCTTCCTCACTGAGTGGGTGAAGATAGTGAGGTTCTCCACCATATTGAACCTGTGAAGCTACATTAGAAGATCGACTCGTAAAGATGATTCTACTTCCATTCTTGTCATTGGGGAATGCAGTTCTCAGCTCATTCCATACCTCAATGTCCCAGACATCATCAAAAACAACAAGATACCGATTCTTCAATAGCCTTTGATGGAGCTTTTCAAGCAAGTCATCCATCCTAGAGTGTTTTCCATCAGAGCACAAAATTTGTGTTAACAAGCTTTTCATGTTAAATTCTTGAGAAACAGTGCACCAAAGACGAATGTGGAAGTGACAGGTTACTGAAATATTATTGTAAACTTTTTTGGCTAAAGTTGTCTTACCAAGCCCAGCCATTCCCACAATGGGAACAATTTCCACCTGTTCTGATCCCCATATATCCCCATATAAGTCGTTCAATTACTTTTGCTGCCTCATCATCAAGACCAACCATGATTTCACGAGCTATTGGCATTTTACCTTTTGATAGCATGCGGCTGGAAGTCTGGCTAACTTCTGGTGCTCTTAAGCTATGAGAGGAATTAGGAAGACTCTGTATAGTACTTGAGACACTGAGCTGATCCTCAAAATGCTTGATAAGTGGTTCAATTCCTTGTTCTCCCTTATCATCAAGACCAACCATGACTTCATGGTCCATTGGCATTTTACCTTTTGATAGCATGCGGCTGGAAGTCTGGCTAACTTCTGGTGCTCTTAAGCTATGAGAGGAATTAGGAAGACTCTCTATAGTACTTGAGCCACTGATCTGATCCTTAAAATGCTTGATATTGGCCAGCAGATCACAAAAATCAAGAACCTGGGTGGATCCTGAGAAGCTAACTTCTCCTTCTATCACTCTGCTCAGAGTGGGCGAGAATATTATAATGCCTGCCTCACCAAGGAGAGCTCCAATTTTTTCATTTTGTTCATCCATCATCGCATGATGCTCCCTTAAAATGCTTCTCAAAAACCTCAGTTCTGCATAGAGTGTTTGCATTTCATCTTTCATAGAATCCACAAAGCTAGAGCTGCAGCATAACAACTCCCAGAGACGTCCTATCAGAGAATCGTTGAAGTTGTTCAATATCCGCTCATCCATCACTGCTGTATGTAATGATGCTGAGGAGTTTGAAGCTGCAAGTACTTCCTTATAAATCTCGTAGACATGAAAATCAACCGCTCTCATGCTGAGGAGTTTGAAGCTGCAAGTTCTTCTGGAGTAGAACCCAGGATTTTTATTTTCGTCATCATCATCCCAAAAAGAACACATGTAAGAGAGGCGTGCTGCGGTCAAAGCCACCACTTCAAAGTGAGCCAATAGCAAGGCAGGAATATCTGCGGTTCCTCGCATTTTGGCAAAGGGAATGGAGCTTTTCAAGAATGTCAGCTTTGCTTCAAGATCTTGGACTTGAGCACTCAAAGCAGCATAAATGGACGATTTAGTAATTTTCCAATTCAAATCGTCATTTGTCAAATCTGCTAGATTTTGCAGGATGAGGTCTATGAATTCCAACAGTTCATCATCTGTCATACAAGAATTTGATTGAAATGACCTGTTGCTTGCCAAAGTTGCCAAAGCAAAGTAAATTTGGATGATTTCTTGCTTGAATAATATGATCTGTTTCCTAATTTCGCGGAACACTACATATATCTTATCACGGGAAAGAGAGTGAATATCCTCCTCATATTTGTGAAAGGTATCTTCGATACAAGATAGGAAAGATGGAAGACTTACCCTCTTCACAACATTGTCAGATTGCAAGTACAAATCATTGCTTTGGCTCCACTTTCTAGCACACATAAGAAATGTTTGGAGAAATTTCATGTGTTTGATTGCTTCACGAACATCGTAAAGAAGATAAAGGGATATTCCGGAGCTGTTCCGGAGCGACTCTAGATCAAGTAAGACACGATCGATGCTGCAAGTGGAGGCCATCTCCATCTCTTTTGGAGGGATTTTCGTCAGTTTCACTCTCAAATTCTAAGAGAGAAACAAATCTCACTAACTGCAGAGCTAGCAAAGTATTTCTTTCCTGAAAATTGCTTATTTGTTTCTGGTGAGAAGGTGAAGAAGAGTATTGAGACAACCAACCATTCAACTAGGTGGAATTGGCATCAAGGTGGACCCCAGGCAATGATAATCAATTATTCAACTAGGTGGAATTGGAGCTAGGCACCCAAAATCCAAATTTATCTTGAACTAATTACAAATGGAGGAAATTGATAAACAAGATTAGTTTACTCTGTCATCAACATTTTATTAGGGAAATTTGATATTAGGGATCACATAAAAGCCTATGTTTTAAGACAATAACAGCAGTGATTTAAGACTCTTTGATGATTTTATTGTCCAAAGCAAGAGTGGTCCAGACGGAGCAGCCCCCTCTCTATTATACATCTAATTATTGCCTCAATAAAGTAGTGGGTCCGATTTCAAAGAATTATTGGGAATGATTGTATTCCATTCCCACACAATGGCGCCCCTTCTCTTATAGCGCGTCCCTGTTTTAATATGTTTTTTTTTTTTGCTTCAAGCATCCACAGTTTAATATGTTAAACTTTATAATTAGGAAGAACAGAAAACAAAGAGACATCAAAATATAAATGATCCAAGACACGTCACAATATAAATGATCAAAATATAATGAACCTTCAAGCTAGCTCTCTAATTTTCTTCCATTGTTTTCTTTCTTCAGCAAACCACTAAATTTGATCACTTTCTCTTCTAATTATCTCGTTTTAATAATCATGACCATTGATCTTGGAGATTAATAACCATGGCCAACAAAGTAAAAAGTATGAGAAAAAAAAAATTGAGGGCTTCTTCAACCCTTGGTATTGTGGAAGCAAAGAATTGGGGATGTCTGCAATTACTAGTGTCAATTATATCATAAAATACTAGTGGAAAAAGCCGGCGCCATGCACGGGAGTTTAGTACCTATAAGTAAAGATAGTTAATAATTATTATTTAGTATTTTGTAGTATAAGAATTGAAGTATGACAATTTTATTATGTGATATTAAACAGAAAAATCATAAATTACATATTGAGTCAAAATATATAATATGCAATAAAATATAATTATAAAATATGATTAATTACTTTGTGTCTAATCTAATAGAATAAAAGATCTACTTATATCTGCTCATGCATTTTGGGAATGTTAAATTTTGTCGTTTAGTTTGAATTTGATCTTGATATGAGGGCAATCTATCTCATTATCTTATCATATAAGTGAGATTTGAAAAATTAGCATACTTGAAGAAATCATTGCTAGTGAAATTTCGGTTCTTACAAGCCAAATTCTTTGATTTATATTGATTCCAAGAACATATCATCATGAAAGTTTCACATTGACAAATCAATCAATTATGATTTATTATATAATTTAGGACATATAGCAAAGCACCTCCTTCTCGATAGGGGTTACAATCACAAAACATCAGTTTTTTATCTAGTTGCAAAGATATACAATAACTAACACGCTAATCTAGATGAATAATTACCTCAAAAAAAGTACTAAAACATCTTAATCCACTCAATTTAAGAAAACAATTAAAAGTAATGAAGTACATACTTTAGATTTGCAGCCAAATAGTTTTAAGTAGATAGTTAAACATATTGGCAAATCAAATGAAGTGAAAAATTGCCTAAATGGAATCATCAAAAAAGTAGCAAATGATTTGAAAATTACCGTAACTAATAGTTAAAACAACAAAAGAAGTAGATGCAATCTATTAATGAAAAAATTTATGATGACAAACTTATTCTAAACCACAAATAACAATTAACAAATGTGATCTCCTCCCTATCAAGTCTATCTAACATGGGCAATTGAATTAAAACACTAAAAAAAGTATTGCACATACAACTTGCAAGATTACAAATTTCTTACAACCAAAAAAGTAGATTAGCTAAAGAAAACAAACCTATTGAGAAAGATGTTGCAAAATGGGAAAGAGTAGTAGCTAATATAGCAACATCTGAATTTAATATACTACATGATTGTAGTGGAACAAAGTTATAGGTAAATGAAATTAATTTGAATAGATAGGGGTTACTATGGTAACGGCCAAGAAACCAAACTTCTCTACTAATCAGCATTAATTGTGCCTTAACATCTATATATCATAAGTTTGCAAATAACTGTTGAGAAAGGCTTTAAGAAATTAAGAGACTTAGATGTTAATACAATTAAATGATTAAAAGGATTTTTATATAATTCCACTAAAACACAAGCTGAATTCAATTGTACAGAATATTTAATTGGATATCGAATATTGTCACATGTTAAACTTATCCATAGCTTTAAATGTCTGAAAGAACATTTAAGTAATTATAAAAAAAAACCAAATCAGTTATAATGATTCATATTCAATACTCAAATTACACTTCAAATACTCTCATATTCCCAAAATAGCTCTATCCTTGCGGTTGAAATCTTTGCCCTACAGTCATTCTTATATAGTATAAGGATATGCATTAAAATAATAAATGTAAAACTCTAAAATAATAAATATAAACAGTAAAATGATAACTTGCAAAATTAATAATGTTACCGGAGTGCATTAATGTTACGTACAACGGTCAAAGAAGATGATTGGATTAAAGAAGTGAAAATTTCTACTAATCAGTAGTAGTACTTCTTTTCACAGAAAAAATGCATTCTTGAAACATTTTCTATTGGGGTCATTTCGATAACCAATGTTGTATTACAAACACATTAATTTTGTACTCTGAAAAAAATTCGAAGGATCTCAGCCTCAAATACTTGTCTACTCTTATGCAGGGATTTTCCTCAATGTCACTCTCAAATATTAGTACAGGTAAAGGAGAAACAAATCTCACCCCAGGGCCAACAAGTCTTTCTTCCATCAAATTTACTCTTCTTTCATTTTATTTTATATTATTATTTTTTTGTAGGGTAGTGAAGAAAAGAAATTAGATACTCAATTGTTTAACAAACAAACAGAGTAAGAAACAAAAGATCAGCAAGGCAAAAGAGAAAATGTTGGAATTATCATAAAGTCATCTTGTGTTTAGTAGATTAAAGATGTTTTCATTGACAAGTTTATTATTTTTGGACTATTTCATACTCATATTGGAGTTGAGAAGGACCACTCTGGTATTTTCCATTAGCAAAGGTCCCTGCACCCACACTGAAAAAGCGTAAAAATTTAACCAATTGCTCAATTCAGACTTGTTTTACCCTAATCTTTATAAATTGATTGTTTCTTTGAAAAATTTAAGCATTTTTACTCCATATAGCCACATCCTATTATTACATACATAAATTCTATGAAATAACAATTTTCATTTTTGTTGCTTTGGAAAAAGTAAAATGACATTAGAGGTTTTAGTTTAATGGATTCTTTCAGTTGAATATAAATAAGTACAACTGAGCCAGGCCTTGAAAGCTTGAACTGCCAAAACAAAGTAGTTAATTCTACCGTTTTGCACTCTAATTCTTTCAAAATAGTAGTATGGTTTCACACACTATTCGTGCAAGTTTAGGAATAACATGGAGCTGTATGCTAGCTTCTCTTTTTCCACAATCGGAAATTAATACACACACACTTATAAATTAAACTAAACACACAGGAGCTGTATGCTAGCTTCTCATTAACAGAAGATAAATTATTCGTTCGTACGAGGAAAAGCCTTTGTTTTAGTCGACTTTCATTCACAATAACTGTAGCTTAGGGGATTTGAGACACTTCGATGATTTTACGGTCCAAAGCATGTAGAATAACTAAATTAAAGGTAGGATTAATCCCTACCAAGAATGGTCCAGACGGATCAGTCCCTCTCTATTATAAACGTATAATAGAGAGGAATATAAAGTGGAATATATAAGTTGTATTAGCAGACATATGCGAGTGGTGGGCTCAGTGCATCTGAACCTTTGATGAGTGGTGGGCCGGTTTCATAGAATTATTGGGAATTATTGTATTCCATTTCCACGCAATGGGGTCCCGGCTCCACAGACCAGAATTATAGCCTTGACTTTATAAAATCTTCTCCACTGGAGTAAATGGACAACCGAGGTAAGTTGGGAGGCTCATTAAAGGTAGAAAGCTCATTATATCCTCGCAGGACCTGAAGGAAATTCTTTTCTTTCGCCTCGCCCTTACAGAACTCAAATATCAAATCGTGAATGTAACAAGTTTTGACTCCACCAATGGATCTGCTTTTACTTACCATAACCAGGTTTCGGCCAATTAGGTCCATCAAATATTCTTCTGCAGTATCCTCTGATCTCTTTCCTTCAATTATTTCCACAAACCCTTCTGCAATCCATAGACGCATCAAACTCTTGGCATGAATTTTTTCATCTTCTCGAAATGCAGCAAAAGACAGCAAGCATGCCTTCAAGTGATATGGTAGATGCTCATAACTGAGCTCCAAGAACTTCTTCCACTGGTCTGTACCAGACACCGTGGTTGAAGTAAAACTTTCAGCAAACTTTTTCCAAACCAAAATATCATGCTCTATAGTTGCTAGAATTCCAGCTACAACAACAACTGCAAAGGGTAATCCCCAGCACTTTTTGACAATCTCCATTCCCAATTCATGCAATGCTTGAGGACATTCTTCTTCTTCTCCAAACACCTTCTTCTGCAGCAATTCGAAACTTTCTTCCTCACTGAGTGGGTGAAGATAGTGAGGTTCTCCACCATATTGAACCTGTGAAGCTACATTAGAAGATCGACTCGTAAAGATGATTCTACTTCCATTCTTGTCATTGGGGAATGCAGTTCTCAGCTCATTCCATACCTCAATGTCCCAGACATCATCAAAAACAACAAGATACCGATTCTTCAATAGCCTTTGATGGAGCTTTTCAAGCAAGTCATCCATCCTAGAGTGTTTTCCATCAGAGCACAAAATTTGTGTTAACAAGCTTTTCATGTTAAATTCTTGAGAAACAGTGCACCAAAGACGAATGTGGAAGTGACAGGTTACTGAACTATCATTGTAAACTTTTTTGGCTAAAGTTGTCTTACCAAGCCCAGCCATTCCCACAATGGGAACAATTACCACCTGTTTTGATCCGCTTACAAGTCGTTCAATTACTTTTGCTGCCTCATCATCAAGACCAACCATGATTTCACGAGCTATTGGCATTTTACCTTTTGATAGCATGCGGCTGGAAGTCTGGCTAACTTCTGGTGCTCTTAAGTTATGAGAGGAATTAGGAAGACTCTGTATAGTACTTAAGACACTGAGCTGATCCTCAAAATGCTTGATAAGTGGTTCAATTGCTTTTTCTGCCTCATCATCAAGACCAACCATGACTTCATGGTCTATTGGCATTTTACCTTTTGATAGCATGCGGCTGGAAGTCTGGCTAACTTCTGGTGCTCTTAAGCTATGAGAGGAATTAGGAAGACTCTCTATAGTACTTGAGACACTGATCTGATCCTTAAAATGCTTGATATGGATGTTGGTATTGGCCAGCATATCACAAAAATCAAGAACCTGGGTGGATCCTGAGAAGCTAACTTCTCCTTCTATCACACTGCTCAGAGTGGGCGAGAATATTATAATGCCTGCCTCACCAAGGAGAGCTCCAATTTTTTCATTTTGTTCATCCATCATCTCATGATGCTCCCTTAAAATGCTTCTCAAAAACCTCAGGCCTGCATAGAGTATTCGCATTTGATCTTTCATAGAATCCACAAAGCTAGAGCTGCAGCATAACAACTCCCAGAGACGACTTATCAGAGAATCATTGAAGTTGTTCAATATCCGCTCATCCATCACTGCTGTATGTAATGATGCTGAGGAGTTTGAAGCTGCAAGTACTTCCTTATATATCTCGTAGACATGAAAATCAACCGCTCTGATGCTGAGGAGTTTGAAGCTGCAAGTACTTCTGTACTCGACATTTTTCCAAAAGGACCACATGTAAGAGAGGCGTGCTGCGGTCAAAGCCACCGCTTCAAAGTGAGCCAATAGCAAGGCAGGAATATCTGCGGTTCCTCGCATTTTGGCAAAGGGAATGAAGCTTTTCAAGAATGTCAGCTTTGCTTCAAGATCTTGGACTTGAGCACTCAAAGCAGCAAAAATAGACAATTTAGTAATTTTCCAATTCAAATCGTCATTTGTCAAATCTGCTAGATTTTGGAGGATGAGGTCTATGAATTCCAACAGTTCATCATCTGTCATACAAGAATTTGATTGAAATGACCTGCTGCTTGCCAAAGCAAGGTAAATTTGGATGATTTCTTGCTTGAGTGATGTGATCTTTTTCTCAATTTCGCGGAACACTCCACGAGCAAAATTAGAAACGTGAATAACCCATTGATATTTTTCCGTTTCTAATCTAAGGCAAAGAGACTGAATGTCCGCCTCGGATTTGTGAAAGGTATCTTCGATACAAGATAAGAAAGATGGAAGACTCACCTTCTTCGCAACATTGTCAGATTGCAGGTACAAATGAACAAGGCTCCACTTTCTAGCACACATAAGAAATGTTTTGAGAAATTTCATGTGTTTGATTGCATCACGAACATCCGAAAGAACTCTATCACCGCCACACAAAAGAAAAAAATTGCCTTCGAATCTGTTCAGAATTAACTCTAGACCAAGTAAGACACGATCGACGCTGCAAGTGGAGGCCATCTCGATCTCTTTTGGAGGGATTTTCGTCAGTTTCACTCTCAAATTTTAAGAGAGAAACAAATCTCACTAACTGCAGATCTAGCAAAGTATTTCTTTCCTGAAAACGGCTTATTTGTTGCTGGTGAGAAGGTGAAGAAGAGTATTGAGACAACCAACCATTCAACTAGGTGGAATTGGCATCAAGGTGGACCCCAGGCAATGATAATCAATTATTCAACTAGGCACCCAAAATCCAAATTTATCTTGAACTAAGTACAACTAGTTGACTCTGTCATCGACATTTTATTAGGGAAATTTGATATTAGGGATCACATAAAAGCCTATGTTTTAAGACAATAACAGCAGTGGTTAGGACAATAATATTTGTAAACTCTAAGATAATAAATATAAACAGTAAAATATAACTTGCAAAATTAATGTTAACAATATACAATGGCCAAAGAAAATGATTGGATTAAAGAAGTGAAAATTGCTACAAATTAGTAGTAGTACTTCTTTTCAAGAGTCAGGACTTAAATGCACGCTCATTATTGTACAAAATTATCTACTTATTTTATAAACACAATTTTCAATCATATTTTTATTTCATATATATCACATCAAAAGGTGATATAATACTTTTAAAAAAATTATTCCAGATAATCTCATGTTCAAACACAAGTCTATGCCCATTTCAGTGTTACTTGGGCCATTGGAAATTAATTCTAGTCTTCTCATTAGTCATTAGTCTTTCTTCCACATTCTGGGGGTCCCTTTGGAAAATGAGAGAGCTGGGAGACTGGCTGTTCTTCGGGTTCGGCACGATGGGCTCTAAACATTTGTTATATTCTTTCTTCAACATTCAGGGGGTCCATGTGGAGAATTTGACGCATTGACCGGATAGTGATCTGGTCAAGTATGGCTAGCAGACGATCCCTTTTCTTGTTCTTTAATTCAAGTTTCGGAGCAATTGCCTTTTAGGTTGGTTTGAGGATTAGGTTTAATTTCTTCCTCCTGATAATTGTTGGAAAATTCAAGTTTCGGCCTTCAATTAAGGGGCAATGTTTTAGATGGGAGAAGATACCATTCACAATGTGTAACCTATATCTAGTCTTGTGATTCTTACTTGCTCCATTTTTTATATGTGAGCAACTTTACTCAAGTTTTTGGAGACTCAAATGAGATAGTGGGAGAGGATTTGAATTCAAAAATTTGTATTTATACTTTTTTCTCTGAACCAGCCAATCCATCTATTTCCTCTTGGCCAATTGATATATGTCCCATGAATATTTTCATATTCTCTTTTGATTAAATTTAAGGAATAATTTCAAAAACCTTTCCTGAGTTTCTAACAATTTCAATGAGATCCCTTGGGATTTTAAAAATTACACTTACCTTCCTTGCCCATTTAAAATGACAATATTAGTCTTACCATTTTAATAAAACTCCCTTTGTTGGGTATGCATATAGAAAGAATGATATTTATAATTATTTTTTCTTTTTCTTTTCTCTTCTTATTCCTCTATTTTTTTTTCATATTTTACAAGTAAAACCACAGAACTATAAACTGTAAATATTGCTTCTAGTCGTTATCATTACCAAATGTTGAATTAGTGACCTTTTTTTGACAACTTTGAATCTAATCTAATTTTTGTTGATCTTTTTTTTCTTTGCACCAAAAACAACAGTGATTTAAAAAGAAACTGTCCAAAACTACTACTAAATTATTGATACCTCTAACATTTCAAAAATCTACAAACTCTAAAATAATTATGATAATACTTTCTTCTCCAACCTTGAGGGAATATGTATCCCTAGTAAAGCACTATGTACAGTAGCCTGTCATAGTGATAAAACTATTGTAATAATTGTTTATTAAATAATAAATATAGGTATTGAAAATTTGATGCTTTTTTTTTATATATTTGATGCTATATATTTTACAATTGTTTTGGAAAGCAAAATAAACTATATAAATCAAGGACATTTTAGGATGTTCATTTAAATTTTTGACTAGTTCTAAGGTTACCAAATGTATCAAATCAAGGGTGGTAAGTACAATTTTAATACCTCAAGGGAGCTCAGTGAAATTGTCTAAAACCTTAGAGGACGTTTATGAAATATCCCTACTTATAATCAACTTTGAAGTGCTACAATCAACATAGTGGGCAATGAGAATAAACTCCTAACTATGAAAGTACATGACTACAATCAACCTTTTGGGGTCAAATATTGTTTGGGGTATCCACAATTACCCTTTATTACACCCATGCATTGTAAACTCTCCCATAGTAAGAATATAATGCCTATTAGATGCATAACAGTCACTACATGCATAATTGAAGCAAAAAAAGCCGAAAGAGTGGGTATAATTTGTCCAATTATTCAAAGCTTTGCAACAGTTTCATTTTATCCAATTATTCAAAACTTTTGCAGTGGTTCCTTGAATCCAATTTTCAACATGTTTGCAATGGTAAAATAATGGTAGCATTGTTTCCATTTCACCAGTTTGCAACAGTATTTTTTTTCACTTTCAATTCGCAAAATTTTGTCTATAAATGTTGTTAACTTTTTCTCAATTTCTTTATTCTCCCACTCCATCATTTCTTCTACTGTATCATTTGTTTTCTTTAACCTCTTATCTAATTTTTTAAAGTGTTGGGTATTTGTTTAATAATTATCTAATTATTTTTAGAAAATAACAATGTACTCCCTTCGTTCCACTTTGATAGTCTCGTTTTCCTTTTTCGTCTGTCCCAAATTGTAGTCTACTTTCCAATTGAAGAATGTAGTTGTATTTTAATTTTTCTAAAATACCCTTATTCAATGTAAGTTGTTGTTACTATAAACCTACCCCATTTAATGAGAGTTGATTCTTTTTTTACCATCAATTCAAGTTTTCATAAATTTGTACCATATTTAATGTGAGGGTATTTTAGGAAAATAGCAATCTAAATTTACTTATCCAACAAAGTTAACTACTTTTTCTTAAACTGTGTGAAAAAAAATGGGACTATCAAAGTGAGACGGAGGGAGTATTATTTTTGAAATACATAAAAATATATACTATTAGTTTTCAAAAATTAATAATATTATTTTTTTAGAAAAAAATTTTTAGAATGCAAAAATTTCAACAAAAGTTAATAAATTTGTTTTCCAAAAATAAATGAAATTACTTTTCAAAAAATAGATTTATTTATTTATGAAATATGTGTTGAGAACTATTAAGATAAATACTTGATTTGATTATAGATCCATGCTATTATACTATGTAGAGTGTAATTTACAGTGAGTGATAATATAATGAAAGAGGGGATAATAAAGTCATGATATAACATGTGAATTGCACTCTTTAGAGTGCACTCTTTAACTCTAAAGAGTGCAATCCATTGTAAATGCCTTAGGACATGCACCTTCAAGACTCTTTCTTGTTTTCATATTTTTGTTTTAGAAAAATCGTTCAAAACGTCCCTCATATTTTATAAGATGACTTTTTTTGTCCCTTACTTTCAAAAGTGTAATTTTATGTCCCTTACAAAGTCACATTGATCAAATTTGGTCCCTACTTAGGGTTCAGACTAGTTTTTGGCCGAAATCCACCACGTGACTTACATGTGATCATTTTTTAAGGGCAAAATTATCAAATCAAATTTTTACATAATCTGATTCATAGTCCCTCACATATCACAAAATAAAATTTTCCGTCCCTAATATTTTACAAAATGAGTTGTTTCGTTCCTCACATTTGAAAAAATGATTTTTCCATCCCTCATATTTTTCAAAATGAATTTTTTTATCCCTCATTGATCATGTCTACGAATAGCTTTTTTTCTATAAACCCACGTATATACCTATTTGATTTTATCTGAACAGTATGAATAACATGTAACTTATCTCTATTGGATTTCATCTAAACATGCTAATCGTAGTTATACACATGCTATTCAATAGATATATATAGGGGTTTAAAACTAATCATTTTGTATGAAACCCATGTATATATTTATATGATTTCACTATTTGAACCTATTCAATATTTGTGATATTTCTTTTTTGGTAATAATTTATTTATTGAGTTGTATAATAAGGTCATCTAATTAATGGATCCTAACTTGAATTCTATAATTGTGCTAACAAATTTCAGTTTAAATCTGAAATTTCTACTCGACACTTTTAAGACCAACAGTTGAATTACTTGCCTTGTGATTGTGTTAAAATTTGAAAGTGCCAATCACTTATTTCTTTTTGTTATACTTTTCTTTTGTTTACTTTTTCTATCCAAATTTAATTCGACATAAACACTCGATAATATTTAGGATTAAATGCCATCTTTATTTTCAAATTTCGAGTAAAAGAAAATGAATATAAGTAAAAAACTAACAATTTTTTTAAACCCATGTATATATCTATTTAATTTCACCTGAGCAATACGAATAGTGTGTAATATATCTCTATTTGATTTCACATGCTATTCATACTGTTCAGGTGAAATCAAATAAATATGTACATGGATTTAAAAAAAATTATTCACACACATGATCAATAATAGATGAAAAAATTTATTTTGAAAAATGTGAAGGACGAAAAAATTTATTTTATGAAATGTAAGGGATTATGAATCAAATTATATAAAATTTGATTTGACAAATTTGCCCTTAAAATATGATCACGTGCAAGGCACGTGGTGAATTCCGACAAAAAAGTAGTCGGAAACCTAAGTATGGACCAAATTTGATCAATGTGAATTTGTAGGGGACGTAAATTACATTTTTAAAAGCGAAGGATGAAAAAAGTTATTTTACAAAATGTAAGGGACGTCTTGAATGATTTTTCCATTTTTTTTGGGGTTAAGCATCCAGATTTATCTTACGCTACTCCTATACTGTGGGAAGGAGAGTGCCCAAGTGAGTTGTGTGAAGGCACAAGAATATAGATACACATACCATCATTATTACAAGTACATGAATTTAGAAGTTATATGAAACAACTAGTAAATTCCAAGAGATACATGAATCTAAGAATGAATCTAAAAGGGAATGAATGTATTAATGAAGCTTAGGAAAAATGCATGAAAAACACTTAAATTTAAGGCACAATTTCCAACACAAATATGTTATAATCAATATGCTTGTTCACATTATACACTTTTATCTAATTTGAATGTCTAACTTCTCTTGCTATTTCTTCCATAAGAATATATTAATTCTATTTAAACGAAGACTTTAAACTAGAAATATTCGTTTGTACATTTTATACACCGAAAAATGATGGTCATATGTTGTAAAATCTTTTTTGAGTTCA